GAAAACAAAAGTGCAAAAGAAGAATAAGAAGAGGAGTAAAAAGGAGAAAATAATTTGTCAGAGAGGTAAATCACAAGTTTCAACATTATAATCTAAGAAATGTTTCACTATTCATACATGCTACCCATTTTATTTAGACTTTAGAGTGCTTTGAGATAGTCAAGGTGCTCTAAATGTTGTATTTGGATGAATAAGTTGGTGTTTTGGGGTGATTTTGTGATCGTTAACCTTTGGGCTGAAGAGGAGCAGGAATGACGGTGCTTGTTTAAGGAAATTAAAATTTACCTGTTAAAATTCATAACAGTTTCATTTAAACAGGATTGGAAGCTAACAAGTGGCAGTAATGTAAATTGTTACCACATTTTTAGGTTACTGGGCAAAACATTATTTTACAGTGTAACCATTGTGATTAGCATTACCTTTTGTTAAAAACATTTTTTTTCTCCACAGCAAGAGATCCTGAAGTTGTCAGAAGGTACAGAGCAGTTCTGAAACACTACACGAAAACTAAATCATTTGTGTCTGCGTACAAGGCAGTGGATGTTGACAGAAACATAATCTTTCCATGGCACCAGCTGCTGAATTAGCCATCACCGACCCTCCAAAGTTTGAAGAATTAGCCATGATTTCACACAAAAGGAAAAACTGGTTGGTTTTGCAAAGAGAGGTTCAGTAGCTATGAGTGATCCGGATGTAAATTTAAATTTATCAATATAAGAATGACCTGTTGCTGCTTCCTCTGAGAAAGCATCAGTAGACTGCATACTGTGCCACCATTGCTGACTTTAAGCCTTTAAGGCATGTTTTTGTTTTTCATTTCTACCAAATGTAGTTTTGAAGTAGCAATGGTTATATAAGGAACCGAAAATGTTCACTAAGAGTTCCTTTGTGTAAGTTTTGTGTTCCTTGAATGTTTATGTCTAACTTGCACTTAACTAATAGTGCAACTGATATTTTGGATATTCCAACAGGAATAAAAAGTTTGCTTTACAGTTTTGCACCCAAATTACTATTATGTGTTGTTGTTAGTGTCAGTAGCAAGCATGTAACTAAACTTAACTAACCAACCTTTACACAAACTTTGTTACAGTAAAAGTCCAATGCCCATAAAGGTACTAAATGATTAATCGTAAACATTTATAAACATTTACAAATGATGAATACTTTCAACTTATATTGGGTACAGCAAAAACATGAACAAATAATTAATAAATGATTTGTAATGATGTGTAAATAGTAGAAGTCTGCATACACACCACAACAAACAAAGAGCAAATGTGTGACCTATACAGACCGTGGTTCTGAGTTATTGAATAATTTGTCAACATGAATAGTGTGTGGAGTGCTTAAAATTACTAATAATTTTTTACAATATTTGTAATTGTAAAAAATGTGCCTTAGACAATATATGAATCAAAGTTTAAGCATTCAAATGTACATTAACAAATAAGCTGTTAATCATTGTATAAAATCTGTTAAAATCATTTGTAGATTTTTAAAAAGTGCATGACCATATATGAATTGAAAATTTAATAACATTTGTAAGCATTTTAATTTACATTAAATTATGATCTGTTAATCATTATGTAATGTTGAATAAATTCATTAGTAAACATTAACAAGCACATTATCTCATAGTTCTAGTTATTTGAATATATATTAACTAATGATCCATTAAGCATTATATAATGTTTATTAATGAAAGTTATTATAAAGTGTTACCAAAGTTTATATCATATTTTTAATAAAAAATCATGGCTGACCCTTTTGTCAAGACTGACTGAAAACCATTTTTAATGGCATGTCTGGTAATCTGGGAGAGCATGTTTATTATGCATATTAGGACACAAAGGTTTAGTTCTTTAAGTTTAGCCCCAATTACACATTTAAAATGTTACTTACTTGTAGCATATTTATGCATGATATCAGTAAGTCAAATTTTGCATCTCTGGAGGACTAGTGGTTAGGCCACAGCACTCTCACCGCTGTGGCCCGGGTTCGATTCTGGGCCAGGGGACCAACCACCACTGAGGTTTTGTGCAATAGTGCGATCTCAGTGCAGGCCCTAAGTCTGGATAAAAATTGGGGAGGGTTGTGTCAGGAAGGGCATCCAGAGTAAAAACTGTGCCGAATCAAATATGTGGACCAATGATCTGCTGTGGTGACCCCTCACCAGAGCACCCGAAAAAAGAAGAACAAGAACAACATCAGTAAATCAAATTTCAATAATTCATCAACACCATATTCTAATATCATATAATCATTAATTATGTACAAGAATATGGTACTATCATTAATAACCCCATAACATCTGGCCATGTACCAGCTGCATCCAAGATAGCAAGGGTTATTCCCAGGGTTCGGAGGGTTACTTTAAAAATGTATTCCATTAGAGTTACAAATTACTTCATAAAAATGTAATCAGTAACATAATCCAAGTATCACAATATGAAAATAATGTAATCTGATTACTTTTGGATTACTTCAAGGTCACATATGTAAATAGAGTCATGAGAAAAGCAATATGAACAACATTAGCAACGTCACGAAAGCATTTCCGAGAACAACTTTAGAGCTGTAGGATGGAGTGGGGTGTTCGTGGGGGGAGTCTTGTTAATTTCTACCAAAATACAGAACATTCCCAACTAATTCAGCACAGCTGGCAACCTTACCCACAACTGTGATCATGCAAACCAGAGACTTAAACACTAAATACTTTTAGCTAACCTAGCTAACATGATTTCTGTGCTTAAATGCTTCTTTAAATTAGATGTTGAGTCCTTCGATAAAGACCTTCACAGCTGGAAGGCATAGTTTGCACTGTACTGTGATGTTGTTGTTTACAGACAAAATAATTTCGAAATTTCCATGACTGTAATGCATTTTTTCCAGCGGGCATCATCATGATAAACAGCCCTTTCAATGTGTCTCTAGAGCAGAATGATTAGAGATAGATGTTATTTGTGTAGGCACTAGGAAGTGACTCATGTGAGTCATGACTAGCAAAAGAGAACCAGAACTATAATCAAGCAGCTGTCTGTATTGCATTATGTCAACAGATTAATTTCTTTGGTTTTAAATGAAAATATTATAATCCTGATAGTATTCCAATTTTTTAAAATGTACCTGTAATCTGATTACTTTGTTTTTTGACGTAACTGTAATGGATTACAGTTACCAGTTTTTTTGTATCCTGATTACGTAATGCTGTTACATGTATTCTATTACTCCCCAAGCCTGGTTATTCCCATCCCGAAGGAACCCACTCGGGATCCTTCAGACATCAGCAACTACATCTACAGCACCATCTACAATCAACTGTCTCTCTATCTCTCACAGAACAACCTCCAAGATCCTAACCAGTCTGGCTTCAAAGCTGCACATTCCACAGAAACTGCCCTTGTGGTCATCACTGAGAACCTCCATGCTGCTAGATCAGCAAAACTGTCATTAGTCCTCATCCTCCTCGATCACCTTGCAGCGTTGAATATACAGTCAAACATAAGACTCTCTTGTCCATCCTCATGAGTCTTGGAATTCATGGCACAGCATGGCAATGGTTTGCTTCCTCCCTGGAGGGTCGGTCATATCAAGTGATATGGAGGGGATCCACATCTGCTCCATGCAGACTCTCCACTGGTGTTCAACAAGGCTCTGTACTCAGTCCTCTTCTGTTCTCCCTCTATACTGGATCTCTTGGTGAGGTCATATCCTCGTGTGGGTTTTCATACCACTGCTATTTGGATGACACTCAATTTATCTTCTTCTTTTCTCCCTCAAACACTCATTTTTCTGCTCAGATCTCAGCATGTCTTGCAGGCATCTCAACATGGATAGCAACTCATCATCTGAAAATTAATCCCCACCTCAAGATCTTGTGATCTCCCTGGATAACACTCAGATCTCGCTTTCTGTCACTGCACACAACCTTGATTAACCTTGGGGATAGTCAACTGTCCTTCTTCTCTCACATTGCTAATCTGATACACTCATGCTGATTTCTCCTTTACAACAAAGGGCAGTGGTAGCTATGTGGTTAAGACGCTGGCTTTCTGATCAGAAGGTCGTGAGTTCAAGCAGTGCTGGAGGTACTTAGCACTACCACTGCTGGGCCCTTGAGCAAGGCCCTTAGCTGTCAACTGCTCAGTTGTATAAATGAGATAAATGTAAGTTGCTCTGGATAAGGGTGTCTGCCAAATGCCATAAATGTAAAATGTAATGTACAACATCAGAAGGATATGTCTATTTCTATCCGCACTGCTCCACGCTCCCTCCAATCCTCCAGCACTGCTTGACTGGACCCACTATGTCTCATGGTACAATGAAGGCTCTCCTCTGTTCTGGCACCTAGGTGGAGGAATAAACTTCCCCTAGCTGTCTGAACAACTGGCTGTTTTCAAATGATGACTAAAGAGCTAACTTTGCACTTTTTTTAAAGTACTTATTTAAAAAAAAAAAAGAAGAAGAAAAAGAAGAAGAAGAAAAAAGAAAAATTGAAAGTCATTTTTCCTACCACAAGCTTTTTGGAATCAACTTCCTGATTGATGCTGACTACACCCACTTACATGATCTCACAAGAGTTAAGTCATGTTATTTCTATTAAGAAGTTCCACTGTAAGGGCTTAGTAACAAATACTTTTAGATTCACGTCACAGTTTGACAAGCCAGAAATTAAATGCTGCTAAGTTTAACTTTCCCAATTTACCTGATGTTCCAGTATACCTGAATTCACCCTATAATGCAACTTGTTGTAAAAGAAAATTTCTGATATGCTTTCCTACTTGGATGGTGACAATTAGTGTGGTTTCAGTGCTTTAGATTTGAAACAAAACAGTGACTATCAGTTTAATGTACATTTAATTTGATTTAAAGTTTTTTTATTGGAGGTTCTTTACATTTGTATTGGCTGAACAATGTGGAAATCAAGCCCTTTTAAGACATACCTGAATCATTTTTGGAGGGGAAAAGTAGTCCTTATGCATGTTCAAAATTCTTTGATTGCCTGTGGTAGTTAAAATGATTCTGTAGAATGCATCGTCAAATAACAAGAAAACTAAACTAGTCCCTCTGGTAGCCATACATGTTGTATGAAAGAGTGAAAGAAATATTCTGACTACAATTTCATATACCAGAAATGGTAATTTACCCATTCATGGTACCTTGCACAATTTCATTTGGAAGATGACTTCTATCCAATGTGAAACTTCTATCCACAACTATCCTAGCTGAAATTCTGATCTATCATCTCATATTCATCTTTTGATCTCAAACCCAAATGTCTTGTCATTGTACAGCAAAAACAAAAGAATTGGCCTTGTCATTCAAATACTTTCAGAGGGGACTATATACAGTGTATTTCTTTTAATTATGTGCCATATGCAAATTTTCATTTTATATTTCCTTTGTCTCAAAAATCTTTAGGCACTGGACCTTCCACTGAACCCCAGTTACATGAACCTCTATGATACAACTACAGATGAGTGACACGTCACCACTGGCTTCTGCCTTGAACTGGCTGATTTCACACCAGCATCACATACTACAAAATGCAGTATGTTACATGATTCAGTCACGCTCTGCACCTTTAAATAACCCAGACTTTCATACACTCTTTGCAAAGTATTGCTCCTGGCCAGTTCTAGAGACGAGTCTAAGCCTTTTGATTCTGTGCATGCATTTCTAGTTTTTGACTTTGGTTTGTTTCTTGTTTTGCTCTTTTTTTGTGTGTTTGCCTAGTTTACTCCTGCCCTCTGCCTGATTTCTGATGCTGTTTTTGGAATTATGTTTTGGATTGTTTGCTTGTTTCTTCAATAGACCTGCACTTGTATTCTACTTTACTGACTCAGTAACAATCAGGTTACTGAGTCCCCCCTTTCTGCATTTTGTAGTGGTGCAAATTGGAACTGAAGTGGACTTAATTGGGGTAATGCATTTACACAAAATAGCCCATTATATTAAAGTGGGGAAAAATCAATATATTTTGCAAAATTATTTACAAATAAAAAAGGTACAAGTTGTGATTTTATAAGTATTCACCTTTGTTGCTGTGAAAACAATAAATTAGTTCTCATGAAACCAGTTGCCATCAGAAGTCACATTTTTAGTTGAGTAAAGTCCACCTTTGTGCAATAAAAGTGTCACATGACACTCAATATAAATACACCTGTTTCTGAAAGGTTTATTAGAGCACATTCCTAAACAAACAGCACCATGAAAAATATTTCATTTCATCTGAGTTGAGAGTTACTTTTGGTCTTTTGGTTGCTTGACTGACTAATCCCCATGGCAAGACCTAATTTATGTGGTTCACACCGACAGGGGTGAATAGTTCACATCTGGCAATCACAACTTTTATGTTTGTTTGGTTTTTTTTTTTTTTGGTAAATATTTTTGCAAACTATATCAAGCCACCCCCTTCAATATTATGAGTCATTTTATGTAGATCCATGACATACAATTGCAATTAAGTCTATTTCAGGTCCAGGTACTAAAAGTAAAATAATATCTAGAAATGTTCAAGGGGGTGAATACATGCAAACCACTGTAGCAATTTTTTGCTCAATGAACTCTAAACTGTGAATTATACTGTAATGCAATTTATCTTTTTGTATTTCTCATTGCTGTATCTATATGCAAGTAACGTTAGAAAGAGATGACAGATATCCACCCACTAATTATGATACTGTGGAATCTACAAAACCTCAAATCATTTATGCTATAGTGAGCAAGACTGGTAAATATGTGTAAGAAGCCCAGCAGAAGACACATATTTTGTGAGGAATATAAACAATAAGTGTTGTTACATTACTGATATTTTAAGTCAGTATGAGAAAGTCAGTATGAGAAAAATAAATAAATAAACACAGAATGTCATCTGCCAAATTTATTTATTTTGAAATTTACAATTATTTCAATAATTTCATTTTTTGATCTTGATTTAAAATGGCTGATTTTTTTTTCTAGAGCTGTATAACTTCTGGTTCATTATGTTTATAATTGTTTTTGTTTTTTTTATAA